ACGGATTACTTCCCTATAAATAGGAAGGATTGGCATGTTTAAGGGCAGTAGAAAAAGAAATAGAAAGTAGAAAGTAGAAAAGGAGGACGGCACAGGTGAGGGATCTTTGAGTGGTGGAAAGAAAGAATAAGAAATTAATTTAAGGTGAGTTATATTATACCTTGAGCTAGTATAATATGTTTTAAATATGTTTTGAGTTACCATAATATAGTTTGCGTATGTTTTGACTCGCCATAATTTATTTTATACAAGTCATGTTTTATGAATTATATTAATATTCCAATTACGTGGATTCTGTTATAAACTCTATTTGCTTAAAATGAAACCTATGGACATGTTTGTTTATATTTTAAAGAATATTTGACTATAACCTTATAAACAATTATTTTTTTGTAAGTACCACCACGAGAGTCCCATGTCTTGAGGGACTTAAATAACCATTGGCCCCTGTTTGACCACATTGTGGTCCCCTGTTTGTCATGGATCCATTGGCTCCTGTTCTGATTGTCACTCTAGTGACCCATGTTCTGTTCTATTCTGTACTGTGGTTATAGTTATTTATTTCAGTTCTGCCACTTAAATAATCTATGTGTTTAACTCAAATTATGTTAATGTTTTAATTTAAATAACTATCTATGGCTATTTTGTACCCTAATACTGACAGTATAATATTTCTCACTTTGCTATGTGCTTACAGCTGTTACCCCTTTCAGGTGATGAGGTTTAGCGGGATCAAGAAGGGGAATGAATTGTTGTGTTGTTTTTTCTTATTTCTTTTTTTGATTTCTGTCTATTTTGTTTTTTTTTTATCAGACTCTTGTAGTACAATAAAATTCAAATGACTATATTTGTTTCCTTTTAAATAAGCATCTGGTATCCAATTCATAAACAAATCAATAAACGCGAGCGGAAGAAAAATTTAAATGAGGGTACCAAAATAATCGTTGGAGCTTCTATTTTTATTACAAAATGTGTTAACCAAAAAGGCCGATATTTACATATAAAAAAATATCAATAAAAGTGATGTGCATGTCTATTCCGCAGCCCCGCGCCTAAAACTTTCCAAAAGCTATTTCTGAATTGCATTATTTCCTAAAAATTGGTAAACAGCTATAAGCACATGTCAGAGTGAGAAATATTAAACTAAGGGTGCGTTTATTTGGACGAACTGGATAATAGGAGATTGTAATCCATCGGACTATTAGTCCTGAGATATATTGTCCCGGGACTATTTGGTTAGACTGAATTTGTATCCTATGTTTATTTAGTCATGGGATTAGATGTTTAGATTGGACTATTTTTAGTCATCCAATGTTGTTTGAGATATTATGGAGAAGGATAAATGTTCAAATGGCTATTTTATCCTTTTCAATTATTTACTAAGTAATAGCAATATTAAACATAGCTTTAATATTTTAATTATTTTTAGCTAGATTAAATAAAATTTATTTTATTTTATTTTTTGCACAATTAAATAAATTTATTTTTAAAAAATAAATATATGTTATTTTTTTAATTAAAATTTTAAATTAATTTATTTTAAATAATGAAATAAAATAAAACATCTATTAAAATTTAAATAATGAAATTAAATAAAAATATAAACAAAATTTTAAAATAAAACATCAATAAAATATCTATAAAAAATATTTTAAAAAATTAAATAAATAAAACAAAAATAAAAATTAAATAAAATTATTTTATATTCAAATTGAGACATTTAAATTTTTTTGAATTTTATTAAATATAATACATAATTAAATACTATAGGGCAAAAATGTAATTTCATTGTCTAATCCTATAGGATGAGTTATCCCATAGTTTCTATCCCACCCCCCTTCCATGGGATAAGATAGTCCTATATTTGTGAGACTAATAGTCCGGAGCAAAATTTTTCAAACAGACAATGAACTATTAGTCCGGTGGACTAATAGTTCAATCCCACACCCTAATCTTTCAAAACAAATTGGACGAACTGGATAAGGGGGGATTAGAATCCATCAGACTTGACTCCCGTGACTGTGAATACCCCAGACTATTTGGTTGGATTTAATATGTATCCTGTGTTTGTTTTTTCATGGGATTAGATGACTATTTTTAATGAATCCAATGTTTGGTTGGACGGACTGGATAGGATAAATGAACAAAAGACTATTTAACCATTTTTCAATTGTTTACTAAGTAATAGCAATATTAAACATATCTTTAATATTTTAATTATTTTTAGTTAGATTAAATAAAAATTAACAATTAACAATTAAATAAATGTTGATGTATAGATTATGTTTAAACAATTAACAAATGTTGATGTAATTAACAATTAACAAATGTAGATGTAATCAAATGTTGACGTATTAAAACATAATTTAATAGATGTTAAATAAATATACATGTTGATGTACAGATGTTGAAATAATTTAATAAACATGTTGATGTACAAATGTTTAAATGTTTAAATAAAACATAATTTAAATAAATGAAATTATTTATTGTTGAAATTAAACATTTAATTGTTTAAATAAAACATCTATTAAAACATCTATTAAATTTAAATAATGAAATTAAATAAAATATAAACAAAATTTTAAAATAAAACATCAATAAAATATCTATAAAAAATTATTTAAAAAAATTAAATAAATAAAACATCAATAAAAAGTTAAATAAAATTATTTTATTTTTAAATTGAGACATTTAAATTTTATTGAATTTTATTAAATATAATACATAATTAAATAGTAGAGGGTCAAAATAGTCATTTTGACCACTTAATCCCAACAGTGGGTAGTACCCCAAAAACTATCCCATACCCCCCCTAGGACACAATAGTCCCCCATATGGGGGATAAGGAGTCCGGTCGGACATGGAGTCCGACGAACTAAAAAAAAATTAAACGGCTGATAAGGAGCACTATTTGGATTACAATCCAAATAGTGGATAGTCCCCCCTAATCCGGCGAATCAAACACGCCCTAAGAGTATAAGGGACACGAAATAACCATGGATAGTTATGTAGCCAAAACATTTAAGATAACTTAGTCGGAACAAATAATCCTTTTAGTAGCAAAACTGAAATACAGGAATTATGTAAGTAAATGATCATAACCACGGTACTGAAATACAAGAATTATGTAAGTAAATGATCATAACCATGGTACTGAACAGAACAGAGCAGAGGTCACAGGTATGACAATCAGAACAGAGCTACGGATTCAAGAGGTGGCTCGTACGGATTCTAGAGGTGGCTCCCACAATAGTGTAGCACTTAGCTCCGCATAAAACAGAAGTACAGATTCAAGAGGTGGTTCGTACGGATTCTAGAGGTGGCTCCCACAATAGTGCAGCACTTAGCTCCGCACAGAACAAAGGTCAATGGATCCATGACAAACAGAGGACCAGAAGGTGATCAAACAGAGGTCAATGGTTATTTAAGTCCCCCAAGGCATGGGACTCCCGTGGTGGTACTTACAAAACATAACTGTTTATAAGGTTATAGTCAAATATTCTTTAGAATATAAACAAACATATCCATGAGTTTCCTTTTAAGCAAATAGGATTCAGAAAATAAACCACGTAACTGAAATAATAATATAATTTATAATAATTTATAAAACATAACTTATATAAAACAAATATAATAAATCAAAATATACATAAAATATATTTTAATAACTCAAAATATAATATAAATTATCTTAACTTTAATACCTTATTCTTTCTTTCTACTATTAAAAACGCTTTCAGCTTCTACTATTTTTTCTTTCTTTCTCTCTTTTCTTTCTTTCCTTTCTTTCTTCTTTTCTTTTCCTCCTTTCTACTTTCTTTTCTGCTCCAGGTGACACGCCTCCCTTTTTTATAGGGAGATAAGGCGCATACGTGGCATGGAGATTCGATTAATAATTATATAAATTCGTTGTTATCTTTGATAAATATTTAAGATAATTACTTTTTAATTCAATATTTTAATATAATTATATAAATTAATTAATTCTTAATTAAATTATATTTTATCATATACTAACATAAAATTAATTATTTATTTTACTATCACATCCATTATTATTATTATTTATTTATATTTGGACCCCTAAATTCATAATAATTATATTATTGTACAAAATTACACATAATAATATATAATAAATTATATATTTTCCTAGTGATTAAATAATATTAGTATAAATTCTACAGAATAATTAAAATTCTGGATTGTTACAATCTTCCCTCCTTTTAAAATTTCGTCATCGAAATTTGTCATATGTGTAAGCTATCCGCTGCGCACTCTGATAAATATATATTAGATGAGTAATCTGGTAGAAAATATTCCCTCAAAAAAAAAAAACTTTTCCAAAAACCACTCACTGTCTATAGTTGTCAAAATTTGTTTTGGGCTAAAATGAGAAATAATGGGTGACTTTAAAAACTTTTCACTCGTTTTCTTTACGATAAAAATAAAATAAAATGAGAACACAATGACAAAATCATATGCAAGAGTTGAAAAAAAAAATTTGAGATGAACTTTTCATTGATAGAAAATAGTTTCAAAATTAGTATCTTTATAATTTGAACCCACTTTTAAAAAACATCAAAATAATTTTTTTTTTCAAATATCGAACTGAAAATTATATGTATTTAATTATATTATAATTTTTGTTGGTTCTTGAGCCCGACATCCTTCTTTTCTTGTCATTCTTTTACTATAACAAATATAAATTATATCTAATATCCTTCACAAATTAGGCACACTAAAAAAAAATTTATTATATATATATATAATCTTAAAAAATTATAATATAATTAAATCGACTAACAAAATGTAATATTTAAATACTAATTACCCGCTATCCTACTTCCTAAATGTGCGTGTATCCTATGCTCCAATGATGGCTTTTCTTTTTCTTTTTTTTATAAACCATTGCTCTGATACCATTTGTCACGACCCGCTCCCCGTACCCAAGGGTTAAGTATCGTGATGGCCAGTAACTGGGGTTACCTCCGGCCAATTCATAAACAAATTAATAAACGCGAGCGGAAGAAAAATTTAAATCAGGGTATCAAAATGATTATTGGAGCTTCTATTTTTATTACAAAATGTATTGACTAAAAAGACTGATATTTACATATAAAAAAATATCAATAAAAGTGATGTGTGTGTCTATTCCGCAGCCCCGCGTCTAAGACTTTCCAAAAGTTATTTCTGAATTGCATTATTTCCTGAAAATTGGTAAACAGTTATAAGCACATGGCAAAGTGAGAAATATTATACCAAGAGTATAAGGGACATGAAATAGCCATGGATAGTTTTGTAGCCAAAACATTTAAGATAACTTAGTTGGAACAAATAATCCTTTTAGTAGCAAAACTGAGATACATAAATTATGTAAATAAATAACCATAACCACGGTAATTTGGTAAACAAATCATTTAAGTGGCAGAAACTGAAATACAGGAATTATGTAAGTAAATGACCATAACCACGGTACTGAACAGAACAAAACAGAGGTCACAGGTGTGACAATCAGAACAGAGGTACGGATTTAAGAGGTGGCTCATACGGATTCTAGAGGTGGCTCCCACAATACTGTAGCACTTAGCTCCGCACAGTACTTTGCTCCGCACAGAACAGAAGTACGGATTCAAGAGGTGGCTCGTACGGATTCTAGAGGTGGCTCCCACAATAGTATAGCACTTAGCTCCGCACAGAACAGAAGTCAATGGATCCATGACAAACAGAGGACTAGAAGGTGATCAAACAGAGGCCAATAGTTATTTAAGTCCCCCAAGGCATGGAACTCCGTGATGGTACTTACAAAACATAATTGTTTATAAGGCTATAGTCAAATATTCTTTAGAATATAAACAAACATATCCATGGGTTTCCTTTTAAGCAAATAGGATTCAGAAAATAAACCACGCAACTGAAATAATAATATAGTTTATAATAATTTATAAAATATAACTTATATAAAACAAATATTGTATGTCAAAACATACGTAAAATACATTTTGGTGACTCAAGGTATAATATAACTCACCTTAACTTTAATACCTTACTCTTTCTTTCTACTATCAAAGACTCTTTTAACTTCCACTATTTTTTCCTTCTTCCTCTCTCTTCTTTCTTTCCTTTCTTTCTTCTTTTCTTTTCCTTTCTTCTTTCTTTTCTGCTCCAGGTGACATGCCTCCCTTTTTATAGGGAGATAAGGCGCATACGTGGCGTGCGAATCTCCCACACATTCGATTAATAATTATATGATTCGTTTTTATCTTTAATAGATATTTAAGATAATTACCCTTTAATTCAATATTTTAATATAATTATATAAATTAATTAATTCTTAATTAAATTATATTTTATCATATACTAACATAAAATTAATTATTTATTTTACTATCACATCCATTATTATTATTATTTATTTATATTTGGACCCCTAAATTCATAATAATTATATTATTGTACAAAATTACACATAATAATATATAATAAATTATATATTTTCCTAGTGATTAAATAATATTAGTATAAATTCTACAGAATAATTAAAATTCTGGATTGTTACAATCTTCCCTCCTTTTAAAATTTCGTCATCGAAATTTGTCATATGTGTAAGCTATCCGCTGCGCACTCTGATAAATATATATTAGATGAGTAATCTGGTAGAAAATATTCCCTCAAAAAAAAAAAACTTTTCCAAAAACCACTCACTGTCTATAGTTGTCAAAATTTGTTTTGGGCTAAAATGAGAAATAATGGGTGACTTTAAAAACTTTTCACTCGTTTTCTTTACGATAAAAATAAAATAAAATGAGAACACAATGACAAAATCATATGCAAGAGTTGAAAAAAAAAATTTGAGATGAACTTTTCATTGATAGAAAATAGTTTCAAAATTAGTATCTTTATAATTTGAACCCACTTTTAAAAAACATCAAAATAATTTTTTTTTTCAAATATCGAACTGAAAATTATATGTATTTAATTATATTATAATTTTTGTTGGTTCTTGAGCCCGACATCCTTCTTTTCTTGTCATTCTTTTACTATAACAAATATAAATTATATCTAATATCCTTCACAAATTAGGCACACTAAAAAAAAATTTATTATATATATATATAATCTTAAAAAATTATAATATAATTAAATCGACTAACAAAATGTAATATTTAAATACTAATTACCCGCTATCCTACTTCCTAAATGTGCGTGTATCCTATGCTCCAATGATGGCTTTTCTTTTGAATGTCAGAAGTTCAAGATTCGAGTCAATAGAGTGACTGTGACCCTTTCACTGACTTACTAACTTTTCAAGATTCGAGTTGATAGAGTGACTGCGACTCTTTTGCTGACTTACTAACGCCTTTACATCTTATAAAATAACGCTCAATTAGTACACATTAATGTGTGTTTGGGAGGGGAAAGATTGAGCACACACCTAACCTTTGGCATAATGCACAAAGTGACGGCCCCAAGACTTGAACCCATAACCTTAAGGTTATTAGGCCAAGTTTAACCATTAAACCAATAGTCACCCCTCTTTTACATCTTATGACAAAAAATTTAAAAAAAAAATTAAAATAAATTATCATAATGTGGTGAAATAACTCGTGATATCCCAATTTAATGTGTATAAGTGGTTAACTGAGCTAACTAAATTAGTTCAAATTACATACCTACTCATATTTTTATAAATATTATTTGATGTTTGTAATTTTGTGTGGTCATAATTTGTAGGTTTTCTATGCTTAGGCCAACCAATCACTACAAAAAATCGCACTTTTGCCAACTAAAAATTTGGTCGGCAAAAGTCTACTTTTAGTCGGTAAAAGTTATTCGTGACCAATTTTTTTGATTGCCACTTTGGTTGCCAATTGAGGGTTGGCAAAAGTAATTAGCGACCAAAACTTTTGTTAGTTGGGAAAAAGTTGTATTTGCCGACTAAATTTTTGGTCGCTAAATATATTATTACTGTGACTAATCCATTTAGTCGCTAAAACACTTTAGTCGCAAAAAGTGACATATTCCCGACCAAACATGTTAGTCGCCAATTGTCACATTCCACGACCAAAAAGTTTGGTTGCCAATTATCACATTCCATAACCAAAAAGTTTGGTCGCCAATTGTTACATTCCATGACCAAAAAGTTTAGTCGCCAATTATCACATTCCACGACTAAAAAGTTTGGTCGCCAATTGTGACATTCCACGACCAAAAAATTTGGTCCCCAATTGTGACATTTGACGACCTCTTAGTTTGGTCGCCAATTGTCACATTCCACAACCAAAAACTTTAGTCGCCAAAAGGAATGTTTGTGCCAACATGCAACAAAATAAACTTGTAATTCATAATAATCTATTCAATCCATTCAATACAATCTGTAATTTACAATAATCAGTCAAACCAACAATTCACCCGAATCATGAACATTCAACAAAATATATAAATCATCAAATTCTGTACCTGTTTAATTAAAGTCAGTAACTATTATAAGTTTTCATCCACAAGTAATTCCAAACTACATATTCCTTCAATTAAAAATTCTCTTGTAATCTATATAATCATCAAATTCACATCCATCTAGCATTAAAATTTATAACATAACAAGTACTTGTTATTATGTTATAAATTTTTATCTATGCGCATCAATCAAAAAATATAACTAGTAGTCTACCAAATATTTTCTATACACACCCATTTAAAAATATAACTAGTCTATCCAAAAATATAACTACTAGTCTACCAGAATATTTTCCATACACATCTATCTAAAAATATATAATCCTTCCAAAAATGCTTATAGTGCCAATTAGTCCTGTACAATTCAGCTTCGTACACGAGTTCATCTATCTGTACTAAAGAAAAAGAGAAATTATGTTAGATAATTTTTTTATGAAAATATTTGCACATCACATTATTGTAAAATTGGACAAAAAATGAAACATGTCCATGGAAAATAAAGGTAACATGAACAAATTAATTGACTATCATTACCATTTTGTAAATAAAACAACAGCATTCATATGTATATATCCAATAAACATTACAATTCTAATTATTGGTCTACAATTTGCCAATATTGATCTATGCTTCAACAATGGAAACTAAGTTAAAATTTGGTGCTATCTGTTTTCATAATTTAATTGTAGTTTTATATCCTTTATATTACTATATTTTGGTCCAAAGGTTTTTTTTTCCCCCCATTGTTTGCACAGTGCAGCTCTTTTTGCTTTCAATGAGATTTATTGAAGAGTCAATGAAAATGAATTTACTTAGTAGATTCTTTTTCACTACAGGTTTGAAAAGAGAATATTTTGTACTCCTTTCTTGCATATAGAGGGCCTTCATATGCATTGTTGGGTTCTTGGAGCTGTAACAACGAGGCTTTTTAATTTTGGATTCAAAATTCTTTGGTTGAGCTTTTACTTGGAGAAAGGTAAGTTTGAGAGTGGAGTGGAAGATACGAGGTTGGGATTATCACATTTTTTTGTCTAAATATATAACGGTGCGTCCTATCAACTTTCCGCTTTCTCTCACAAGTTTGTTTAATCTAGGCCGAAGTGACCGTTATGATATCGGGACTATTTCGAGGCTATTTCTAATTTTTGGCCCCAAACAGCCCATTTTTGCCTTTTTTCATCACATGTTTTTGTCTAAATATCTAACCGTGCATCCTATCGACGCGCCGCTTCCTCTCACAAATCTCTTTAATCTAGGCCGAGTTGACCGTTATGATCTCAGGGTTGTTTCGACGCTATTTCCAATTTTTTGTGCCAAACGGCCCGTTTTCGCCTATATTTTTGTCCTATCTCCGTTTTCGCCTATATGAGATGTCATGTGCCATACATAAGACATCTCATATACTGCAAAATGTTTAAAATGACCTTATTCTTCTCTCCCATTCTCTCTTTCACCTTCCCTATTTTCTTCTAGCCACGTCAGCAACTATGGGTGCTACCATGGGTAGAAGACAATTAGGAAAAAAGTAAATAAGGTTATTGTAAGCATTTCACAATGTTTGAAATGTCTATCAATTTTTCCTTTTTATTTAAGTAATGAATCTTTAACAAAAGGTTCACAATGATCCAAATTGATAGTTCAATGCAACAAAGTATAATGTTTTTTAGTTGAGGAGGGTAGAGTGAGATACTAAGTAATAGGTCAAGAAGGAAAAATGTAGTTTTTCCTATAATTAACTAGAAGAGACAAATCCACATTTCTCAAATATTCAGTAGGCTTGCAACATGAACAGAAGCATCACTTACATTGTTCTGAATTAGATTGTCAAGCTCTCTCCTTAAGCTTTGGTACATTTCTGTGAGGGCAGGTTTCATGAAGAACTTCAAGTATCCTCCTAACATTTTTAAGTGGCCATCCTGTAAAATCAAGAAAATGATACCACCAAATCATCATAAAAAATAATAAAACCACAATATGCATGAATGGCATGTGCATGTTTATTCTAGCAAGGGAGTGAGGAAAAGGGAGGACTCCAATAAGTAATCACATAAAGAAGAAGAAACTTACAAAGTACAAGAGCACCTGACCATCCTCCATTGTTTTCAATGAGAATGACTTTTCACTGTGTTGCCAATGCATATATGTCAGCACTTATATAGATTACATGAAGTAATAAAAATTATACACAGAAATCTTGCCAAATCATTCCATCAAGTTATGAAGACTATAGTTAAATCCTTATTTATCTTTCATTTACTAAATTAACAAAACAGATGCACACTTTCTTGCATAGTACAAAATGATTCCAGGAGATGAATCAAGTAGATCAGGCATCAGAAGCATTTCCATTTTAAGCCACATGATAGGGATGTCAAAAAAGAAAAATATGATCAGTACAAGAGTCATGGATGTCATGGCTTACCATAACAGAGCAAATTCCAGGATACAAGGCATAGCAAATAACAGCTCGAATGAGATGCTTATCATAACTCCATGCATTGCAGATGGCATTGTTGCTATCAAATGCACAGTTTAACTATCAATCAACCGGTGTGTTACAAAACCCAAGAACAGAATCGCTGCTGCATTTGATTAGCAGGAAATGTGGGTGTGAACAAAAATATAGAAAAAGAATAAAAAGCGATGAAAACTTCAAAATTCGAGCAATATAAGAAAAGGAAAGAACTTGCATTTCTAAGACAGCAGAGCTGCACTATGGTTGAGACCATATTACTTAGACCATAGTTTTACAGTTCAGGATTTTGTGATAAATCTTAGGCAAGTGAGAAGGTGCATTTCAGGAAGAAGTGTATAAGGTGACAGGTGATATGAATGGGATGACTGATCTGTGTATTAGCATCAGGTTACTGAGGTTAGAGTCTGATCTGGGTGGGCTCTTCTGGTTGCTGAGGGTAATGACTGATCTGGGTTATGCTGGTAGTGTATGCTATGTGTATTGTTGTGGTATTGCTGATTGAATTGCCTTCCTATCTATGCTAATTCTACTACTGAGGTATTACTGAGGTCTTGCTGGTGGATTGGATCTCTTCTACTACTGCTTGAGCCTGCTTCTGCTTTGTTCCCCCAGGATTCCATTTCTAATCTTAGAGTCATCAGATGTTGTTTGGGTGGATGAAGGCTGTTATGTTGGCCTGAACTGCTGTAGTGTGGAGTGCTAAACTGTTGTGGTGTCTGTCTTGCTATGCTTGGTTTGAGTTGGTATTGGTGTAGATGGGCTACTGATAAAAGGAGTAATTAGTGGAGTATAATCAACAACCAAATGAAGTATAATCAACAACCCAAGAAATACATAGAGAGAGGATAGTAACTAATGCTTCGATTTTTCCATAATACAAACAGACAACAAAACTAAGAATTCAATTAACTAATGCTATCTACTTGTACTACGCTAAGTTGAGTAAAATGTTTTACATTCCCAATTCAAGTAACGTGAAACCTAATAAATTCAAAATTTTCCTTCTCTTTACTAGATTTTCTAGGAAACCAAATGGAGTATAATCAAAAACCCAAAAAGCAGATAGAGTTAAGAATCCAATTAAAAAATCCTGTTTACTTCTAGGTGGCTGCTAAGTTGAGTAGAAACTTTAAAAATCCCAATTCAAGTAATGAGAAGCGCAATAAATTCAAAATTCTTCATTTAAATTTTGATGTTTCGGCTCAACTAATACATTCAACTTGGCCACTGGTTATAATTGAAAAAGGTATCTGTTTAAAAGCTTAAAGAACTGATAGAAGTGTCTTACATGTAAAATAGTTCCAGACTTACATCCATGTAGAGGTAGTGCAATGGCAGAAGGCTTCAGTGCATCAGTATAATCAGCAGGTTGATGGTAGCTTCACTGAGGATGGCAGACTGTGAAAAACCCTGATGCCAATTCAATTCAAGATATCATAAAGTTAATCACTATAGGATAATGTGCGTAATAAGTGCAGAAAAATACAAGAGGCATCAGTGTATCAAGTACAGATAACTAGCAGTACAGAAAAATATATTTATAAACATAAGAATCAAAGTAAAGAATTAGTGAAGAATAGTAATCAATTTGAACTCTTTACTACTTCCACATTATATGGCATATTGGACAAGTTTGTTTATTCCTATCGGGAAGAGTCAAGACAAAAGATGGTCACATTTCTTTCTTCCATTAAAATCCCCTTAGCCTTCTCGCATAACACCCTAACCTACAACAGAGAGAGAAAATGTCAATGGAGATCCCTTTTCCATTACACTAAAACAGAAAGGTATCCATTAAAAGGTGAATACTATAGCATAATAATAACAACAGTTTCATAACATGGATAAGGCAAAGTACAATACATAGATGTCTTGGGTAAGAGTCAAATCTAAGACCTCGGCTTAAATGTGAGCTACATATATAAAGGTTCCTTTTATAATAAATGGTTATTCATTCATCATAACAGAAGAATACTCGAGCTATCATGGTTCTTCATTCCCTATTTTTCAAAACAAAATAAAAATGAGAAAAAGAAAGACAAATAGAGAAAGAAAGACATAATGAACAAAAGATGGTTATGGTTTCATCCTGTCAAAGATTTCATGAGTGAAACTTCTGAAATCTCACTGCAACGTTATCGCAAAAGGCAGCATTTTGAGAAGCAGAGCATGCAATTACAGCCCTAACCTTTTGGTATTGGTAATGGAGTGCTTCCAGGACAAACATGAGTGAGCCACATAAACTAATTCGAAGTCATTTTCCAAACTTCTTAAGAGCTTGTTTCTAGACATCTTGCTCCATGAGATATATGGGATGGAGGTTAATTCCACTGGCTACTTTATGCTCTCAAATGAACATATAGGAGACAATTGCTTGTTCAGAATTGCACCTACACAATAACTAATCAAAATGCTACTAAAGAAAATCAAAAAATGGTGACAGGTAGTGCATTCTACCACAAAAGCCTAATGTGCTTGTGTAATATTTGTATAATTTTATTAGCCATGTTTAGGCAATAATGCCCATGATTATGAATACTTACTTATACCACATGTTCTGTCATGATTGAGTAAATCAAACCATCTCATACTGTCAGTATACTTCTGGTATAATGAATCTAAATCTGCCTCCCTGCTCTGATCATTAATCGATTCTCGTCCTATGATGGCTGAATCAGAGATGCACACTGATGGCAAAGACACATCCATTTCCACATAATCAGTGTATGAATTAGAACCACAATTGGATGATGAATCCTTAGTCATATCCACATCTTGAGTGTCTGAATTGAAACTACAATCAGAACACACATACTCCTCCAATCTTATATCTTCATCAACATGCACATTTGGTTCTCTTATAGTCTCTTCCACTAGAAGTGAATTGTCATGTACAGTTTTAATATTGTTCAATCTAATGAATGAGAATAGAGAGATGATACCAGTTATAAACCTGAAAATGCTCGAAGCTATGAAACAAGTGGTTTGAATAGGAAGAGAGACAATGGGTAGAAGCCATGTTTGTAGCAGTTTGATCCATAAGATGATCTGACAGAGAAAGAGCAAAAGAGGGTGGATGTAGAAGCTCAAATAATACCACTTCATAAATTCATCTAGGATGATGATAGATTCAATGATGAGCCAACAGGATGTGAGCAAAGCCATCCTCAAAACTCAAACATCACTTGACTATCTCTTATCTTGGAGTTTTAGCATTCTACTTGCGTGGAATTGGCTTACTTTCTAGCACAACAATGTTATATACTTAGAAGAAAATACCTAAAAGAGTGTTCAAAATTTGAAAATTTGTGAATTAAATACTTTCTAAATATGACTTACATCATATCAAATTTAAATTTATACTATAAATTCAAATCTTGAGCACTTTACTGCTACTTTCCAACTATAATTGTGTTGGTTCATCAACATCAACTTTCTAACATCTCTCCTCTTTTCTCTCTCATACACATATTTTAGATCCAAATGAAAATCAATCAAGATCTAAGAGCCTAAATCAATTAAATTGAAACCATAAACAATAGTGCTAGTGATTTAAACGAACTTGAAATCCAAATTAGAACCCCAAACCTGGTAGAAGAACCCTAGATTCAGATCCCAATCGATCAAATCCAAATTAAACACATCCAGATATAAGAGCCCTACATCAAACAGAGAGAAGGGCATATCAAAACTTAATAGTCTTCAAAATCGATTCTTCTTCGAACTCGAGAGCCTGCGACATATCGAAGAGGGACAATTTGAACTGGATGAGAAGAGGGAGAAAGCCGATTCAAGAGAGAGAGACAGAGAGAGGCGATTCCAGAGACCATAGAAAGAGAGAGAGATAGAGAGAGAGAAAGACAGAGACAAAGATCGCAAGAAAAAAGTGAGAAAGCTAAATAAGTATTTATAGGTAGATTGAGAGAGAGAGAAAGAGATTGTGTGTGTGAGAGAGAGAGATTCATACCGCTCTTGTTTCTCAGATCACCATGGCAACGGAGAGAGCTTGAAACAGAGAGAATGATATCAAGAGAGATAACATCGAAAGAACAACGCGTAAGAAAAGGGGCTAGGGCTTGCGTATAAGAAAAGGGCCTAGAGTGCAACGTATAGTGGTGACAGTGGAGAGGCCAGAATGGCGAACGACAATGTTGATGGTGAGGTGAGGTGAGGTGAGGTGAGGTGGGGTGAGGTTTGGTGGTGAAGGAGAATCTGTATGAGAGAGAGAACAATTTGATTGGTTTAAATAGAGAATAGGTGGGGGAATCTAAAATTTTCACACCTTTGGTGACAAAATTGGTTTTTGGTCGGCAAATGCTATTATCTGCGACCAAAATATTTTAGTCGCTAAAAGTTTATCTTCTCTCTTCGACTTTTGTCGACCAAATTTTTTTTTTGGTCGCCAAATGAAAATTTTTGCGACTAAAATAGTAAATTGGTCGCTAAAAATCACTTTTTGGCAACAAAATATTTTTAGTCAATAATAATGTCAAGTTTTAGCTACGAAATTTTTTTTGGTCGGCAAATGTCAATTTTTTGCGACCAAAATATTTTTAGTAGGCAAAAGTGGTCGGCAATTGTGTATTTTCTTGTACTTAAGATTCCATCAATTCCATCAAAAGAAATACATAATAAGAAACAGAGCAAGATTCAATTTTCAAAGCACAAATCGAGTCAACCGTAGTAACAGTAAGTCCACAAGCAATTACAGATCTCTGACTGTGATAACCCTGGTTTGTGTTATGTTAATCAATCATGATTGTGTTTGTAGTTATGTGCTTAATTTGAATATGGGTGTTAATTGCATGATTATATGTGATTTTGGCTTTGTATCTATTCAGCGTAGGAAAATCTGTTAGAATATGTGCTTTGAACTGAAAATTGAAGGCCTTCTCGGCCACAGCACCCGAAATTGATTATGCCATTGTGATTAGCGTAATTTTTAGAGCTTATGGTGAAATTTAATTGAAAATTGATTCGGATCAAAATAATTAGATTCAGAACGGTTAATTAGAGTGCCATTACTTAAACTTAATCAATGTGATTAAGCAAGCCTATAAATAGGCCAATATACACTTAAGTCCCTCATTTTGTGAACTCAAAATCTGAAATGTGCTCTAGAGAGAGAGAGAGAGAGAGAGACGGCTTTAGAGAGAGAGAGGGGCTCAAATTATGAATGTTGGCTCAAAGCTTGGGGATTGGAATCTAAACTCAAAGATCTAGCTAGAATTTGTGAAGATTGAAGCTCCTAGGTGAGTATTTGAGCATAAATTCATAAGTTAAAGTTTGTAATTTTGTGAATTCAAAGAGAATATGTAACCAAGAGCAAGAATTAAGTTATAATTGATGAATTTGGAGTCAATGAATGCATGCATGTTTAGAATTGCCATGAATTTGCACAAGTTAGCATGTAACATGTTAATTATGAAAGATTGGGCATTGAATCATACATGTAAGTATGGTTTTGTTGAGTTTCATGGTTATAAGCACCATTTGTACCATTTGTAATAGAAATGGAGTCAAGAATTGACATGCACGCATGATTGATGAAGATATGAAGTTTGAATGCATGAATTTAATGTATTGGAAGTAAGTTTGATATAATTTGGGTTTGCATGTGATTGATTCATAAGATTTGAGCTTCATAATGTAGTAAATTGGTGTTTGTAGCATGTTAATAGTTGTATATGAGAATTATGGGTTATAGAATGCAAGCTATGTTAATTTGAATGCAAGTTTGAAACTCAAATTGGTTACTGGGAATTCCAGAATTCGACATGTCTGCTCGAGCGGGGAAAACGCCGCTCTAGCGTGAAATGCTAGTTCCCAGAACTTTTGCAGACATGGGCGTCCGCTCGAGCGGGGAGATTCACACTCGAGTGGGGAGCCATGCAGTTTTACTCTCAGTTCGAGCGTCCGAAGTCACGCTCGAGCGTAAAAATGAAGTAACCAACACTTTTGCAGACCAAAGGGGTCCGCTCGAGCGGGGATCCCTGTTTCAGATATTTTGAAAAATGGTTTTGTGATTTGTTTTCCGTTCTCTTTAATTTCTAAGTACTCTTAAGCATGCATTGAGCATTGTGAATAAGTTAAAATGATAAGAAAGGAGCCTAAGAGGAATGTATGAATTAAGAACGGATTGAATAGTTTGTGACCCATATGTGTTATGTAATGTGTGGGGTCGAACTCAAGGGAAAATCCATCGGTGAAACACTGTGAGTAATATCTTAGTAAAGATATTTTTAAGTATGTTACTTTCCGAATGCTACTTCTGTATAAGCTTCATGGATTTGTTGATTTGAAATATGAATGAGTATTCTATATGCCTAATTTTGTATAAAGGCCGTTTGATACATTGATATATCTGAATTGGACCTAAGGCCGTTCGCCGTTTGCCGTTGACATGTTTGATATACCTGAATTGGGCCAAAGGCCATTGGACATGAATGATTGGGCCAAAGGCCGTCGGACATGAATGATTGGGCCTAAGGCCGTTTGACATGAATGATTGGGCCAAAAGCTGTTGGATATGAACGATTGGGCCAAAGGCCGTTAGACATGAATGCAAAGATAGGCCAAAGGCCGTTTGAATATGTCATTTGATATGTTGGAATACTGTGACGGCCAAAGGGCGTTTGAATGAAAGGGATCATGATCATGAATATGAAATACACATGGATATGAATATAAAGAGAATGGGCCCGAGGCCGTTTGATGTGTTCGAATTGGACCAAAAGCCGTTTTGAATAGAGAGTTGGTTGGACCAAAGGTCGTTTCGTATAGATGGACCCGAGGTCGTATTGTTTTATATAAGAACTGGACCTGAGGTCGTTTTGCATATGGACATGATGTGTTGGACCTAAGGTCGTTTTGCTTTGTTGAGATTTGGAAATCTGGTTTGAATGAGAATAGTGGTTCAAATATGTACATTATAAGTATGATTCATTTATGAACGAATCTCATTCATTAACCTTTTATTTTGATATTATTCACTGGGCGTTAGCTCACTCTCATTCATATGTATGTAGGTGAGCAAAGGGACGTTCAACCCCAGCCTTAGTGGAATTTAAGAGAGGAACCAGAGTTTTGTGAAGTCAGCCCAGGTGCCTCACGCAAGAGGCTGTGTTTATGATATTTTGTATTTCTTTTGCTATTTCTATTGGTCGTGATA